TGATCTTTTAAGCTTGTAAACTATTAGTTACCTTGCAGCCAAACTACTAATCAAACAAACAACACGTTCAATATCTCAGTCAAAAGTCGACATGTACCCTTTTCATGTTACCGACAGCTGTATCATTAATTTTATATATAACTGCCAAGCAACTACATTTATCGAACATAAAGAATAGCACATATTAGATTTTCCGAAAAAGACCCAGAACTCATTTGGAACTGTTAGTTTGTTACAGGTATTCCTACGCAGTTCTTAAAATACTTATTTACAATATCTAAACACAGGTGTTATAATGTCTATCATCTTTATGACAGACCCATATTTTTTAACGAAATATCTAGTCTTTAAATGACATCAACGTGTCGTTATACTTCTAGAGTGTTCTTTTGGTTTTTTTTCTCAGGAACTTTATGCGTCTACCTGGGTCCATCTTGATTGGATAATATAAGAAAGTACAATACAACCACTCCTCCAGTTGGTCATAGTGATTTCTAATATTGTGGTTGAGTTAGTAAAATTGCTTGAGTATGGTGTGGAAACAACCAATATCACTGGTGCTGTGTACTAAGTAACTTATGACCAGTGGTATCTAGGAATTTAGGTTCAGCAAAGACCAGAAATGTGTAAAGTGAATCATCGTTTTCAATTCCTCGAGTAAAATATAGTCACGCTATCTAGGCAACTTGGATGATTCTAAACAGTAACCTTTGAAGTGATATAAAACTTTTAGAGTATTAATAGTTACAAGAAATATGAATTAACCGTCATGGTTATAGGGAGAATCAACCTGTAATGTAGAAGAATGGTCCGTTAATTTGAAGTCAAATATATAAATCAGTAAAATGGCAATGTCTTGCTTCGTCCAATCCACACTGTAGAAATTATTTATTAGAATATAAAGCTGGTTACTTGATTCGAAAAATTTAATTAGTCTGCTTACAAGGATTCCTATGGGTAAACTAAACCTCTCAACTATTTGGGAAGTTAATTCTAGCTTACATGTGTATTATACTTTGAGATACCAGTCTTATAGTCGCTGATGTGACTTTAGTATCCGAATAAACTCGTTAGAAAATCAGATCGGCATGTCTGATTCAAAATTATGTTAGTCCCATAAATACCTCACTTTTTCATACCTGGATGTTTCGAACTACAAGTTAATAAGTTTCCGCCTATTTACGTAATCAGTTGATCATAATATGTTTTCTTAGTATGAATAGTTTGTTTGATAGGCTTTCATGTCCTTCACATATGCTTTCATATGGAATTCTCTGTTCATTGATTAATTGAGCTCAGAATAAAAAATTCATAGTGATTTTGTGATTACTATAAACTTCTGTTCTCACAGTACTCTAATAGGTGACTTTTAGCATGATAGTAGGGTTGACTTAGACTTCCTGAACTCTATCCTTATATGCAATCTTTCTTTTATATATTAACATCAGTGAATTAAATACTTCTATAAATTCAGTGTTCATCTTGTTGTGCTAACGGGGTGTGGCAACTTGGACCGTCGCATATATGTGCCTGGTCTTACGTTGTAGCTGACCGACTGACTGACTTAGACTTCCCTTGTTAACAAATATCGTTTTTTTTGTTGATAGACAATAAAATTACTCTCCTAAAGCTCTAACTTTAATAGCATCTCAAATTTTAAAAAAGTTACATCGTTAGATTGCAGTAATTCAAACCGGAAGTCACACGGAAATGTCTTATCAGCAAAAAAAAAAATTTTGTTAACCTACTCTCAATGACAATTATGAAATTTACAAAATAGGTGGACCAACCAAAGCAATACATTTTAAACAAAGAAAGCATGAACATATTTGCGGAATACAATAAGATCATCGTATTTTGTTGCTTTTTATTCAGCTACATTTAGGTTAACAAATTTAGCTATTTAAAACTTAAACAGTTTAGAATTTGAAGCAACGAATTATCCGATAATAAAGAATACGTCGTTTGGAATATAAATAGAATTTGAAAATTTTTTACTATGTTTTATAAATGCTTTTATCTGAAAGTTCTAGAATGTTCACGGGTGATTCATTAAGTAATGTAACAAAAATCTAAGATATTAAAGAGGAAAAAGAAGTTTGAGTTAAATTCACTAAATAACCATTCTATACAAGAGGTTTGATTCTTATATTTTACAAGGGTACTATTTAATTTTGCTGATAATAATAAGATGGTTTACCGTACCCGAGTTGTCATTCACTACATTACTATAATTTCTGAAGTACTTCTCATACTCTGTAACACTTATTGTCTTAATGTAATACCGAAAATCTGTTACAGTTGGAGTAAGCTATGCCAAATATAGTTGCGCGCTAAACTAATAAATAAAGTGAGTAAATAATAAGGTTTAAAAGAGGTTATTTCCAGGGTTAATATATGAGATCTTTATGAACAAATTTTTACTTTACATGTTATTTATGTCTATAACAGACATGAAGTAAAGCATAACTTATCAACACATAGACTCCGTAATGTGTTTTGCTATGATGGTAAATCACTGTGAATATGAATTGGACTGATACTTTTGATTTGATAAACAGATAGTGTCAAGCGATATTACTTAAAACGTTCTCTTCATTGCTATTTATTTATTTATCTTTTTTGAAGAATTTGGACTGCCCCATTACAACATACACCATATTATCTTTTTGATGACAGTTCAAAAGGTTATGGTCTGTTCTAGGCGCTGAGCTTGAACAGAAGGCTTTAAATTTGCTGAGAATATAGTTAATGTTGGCAAAAATGATAGTGTGGTTTGTTTTTAATTCATAAAACACTTAAACTCTTCAAAAACCACTCTTGTTAAATTCACTTTTTTAAAACTGAATCTTAATATATTTGTTACATTTAGACATTTACTAGGTTTTCTTATTTTCATGGTTCAAAATTCTGTTTTCATTCTTTTCCCCAAATTTAACTAATTGTGTATAGGCTATGAGATACCCCAATTTTTAAGGTTCGTCATGTTTTATTTCTGTAATTCCGTGTAAAAAATAATTTTAACAAGTTTTAGACTTACATACTGCATACGTTAACTACTTAAATTCGGAGAGGAAAATAAAGAGAACATTATTCATAACAATAAGGCGGGGATAAAGGGGAAACGCACAGAAGTTTCCTTTACAGAATACAGTGAGGAAATGGTGCAACATATGTTTCAAATGTGCGGAATTTATATCAGATTGGATCATTGTTGTCAAAATGGACGCCATATCCTCTACTATTCGTCTAAGTGAACGCCGGGCTGTCTACTTATCCATCAAATACAAGCCGCTGTTTAAATTGACGCGTCAAGTTAAAGTCCACGCACAGTCACATGCTTTTAGCATGAATGTCTCTTATGTTTGCCTTTATTTCATTTCGAATCATCACTTGCATTATCCATCCTCTCTCTATAACGCCTTCATTGTTTATCTCATGTCTTGGAAATGTCCTTGCGTCGCCATGTCATACAATTTCACGAGGTATTTTTCAATGACAGTTGATGATGAAGTATGATGATTAGTAGTATTTGGATTGTAGTACAAACAAGGAATCTCATCAATAACGCAATTTCACCAAGAAGTATTAGATAAGCACGACTGAACGTATTGTATCAAGCAGTCATCAAGTACAAAGGAATCATTAGTTCATACAAACACCACACAAAGACCGTAGTGTCCGTGTGCCTAAAGGTTAATAAGCATTTCATGTTCTGCCACAAAACCTGCACGTCTGGCGTGCTCATTTTGATGAAGCGTGAAGGAGCTGGCCGCTTCAGGTTTCATGATGTATGACAAGATATAGCCCACGGATGTTTCGGGATTATCAACCATCAACCGCATCAGCGTGGCCATTTACAATGTAAAGTAACAATCCAACGGTTTTTGTAGACTAATAAGTTTGTCCCTCATGTGTTTTACCAAAGACATTCATCTAGCGCCTGCATTTTCTCTCCAGATGACAAGGGGAAATTCAAAGTTCATAGTCCCATATCACGTTTCCGTGGACTATCTTGCCTATCGGACTGAGACTGAGACATGAGCTGCATAACGTTGGTACTGAAGTCTGATATTACTGATGACATGTTCTGCAGAACAGCATGCAGGTTTGCGAATCTAGGACGTACTTCATTTCAAGATATGATCTAATCAACCACAAAACTAGTCTCAACAGTGGTTGACAGCAACGTTTCTGCTTATATAGAACTTATTTATAAACACTTATAAGTAGAACACGCTAGTCCGCCATTGATAACACTGTAGTGTTCATTAACCTGAACTTTACATATTAAACTTGACTGATTTTATCCTAGATTTCAGCCACGTCCATGTCAACTGTAGTTGAACATTCATCAAACTAGAACGTGTAATATCACTGAAGAATTTACTCCAATGCCACTCCCAGGTATCTAAGGGAGTTACACAATACATATTTTTTCAAATATTTGTGATAGAAATCAAGTACGAGGATGATCTTGAGCGGTTCTCGGAATAATTGCGAAATAATTACACCTTACCCCGCTCAAAATGAGGTTAGGAACTGAGATTAAGAGTTAAGGTAACGAGTCAGGATAATAAACTACAGTTGTTTTTCCATCATGAACTGACATCACTCATAATCCGAGAACCCTAAATAAGCATATAAAGTGAATGGATATCATGTAAGAATTCAAGAGGCACAATCTGAAAGTTGATTTGTCTGGCTCTGTACTTTAGTTCCAACCTACGTACATTTTACGCCTTCGGATTTTTCTGTTATTGTTTTCTTAGTTAGATATACCAGTTTCAACTTCATGCATACGTCATTGCTAATTGTTATTGATTGCTTTATTATTAAGTGTAACTATCCCGTGTGCATAAATGCGTACCAAGTTCACTGTGGAGTCTACTCACACTTTCCCTTGTCTTTCTCTCCCAGATTCCTACTCACACTCGTCATCCCGTCGTCAACCACATACCACTAGACAGTACGTAAACCTGTAAACGACTACACACTAAATGCCAAGAAATGCAGAAGTCCATATATGGCACGGGAAATACCCTGTTGCAGGAATATGCAAAAATAGAAAACACCGATTGGTGGGACTTCAAGGTACTTTCAAAATTTTAGAACAACGTTATGTGACCTAGAACAATTGTCGAAAGAGGGACATACTACTTATCTCCACGATTTGAGTGACTTTTATGAAATCACCGAAATAAAAGTTAATGAAGAGGTTGTTCATCACTGCAAAATTACTGATTTTCAGTTTGGTATGCAAAATAATTTGTTTTTCTCAGTTTAGGAAAATTTTCAGGAGGTGATGGGGAGCTGGATCCGCTATGCAAACTAATTGTAGATAAAGTCAATACTGCATATTAAGGCCTGTCAAGTGCCTTTCTCGAATACAGAAGACGAAATAAATTGTATTTGCAAAGTCGTATTGCAAACTTTTGACACTGTTAATCACTTTAATGGTGTCTACTAATCCCTGTAAAACATTGCTTATTTATTATATGTAAAAAAAGCTTGCCCTCATGGGTTCATAAGGTTTTACTCAGCTCAAAATGATTTTAATGGAGCCGTCTGGTTATTGTATTCTAAACCGGTTAATCAGGCCTCATTTTATCATACACTGTAACTTGAACAAAATCTCAATACATTTAAATCAGAATTATTTGGTTTAAATGACCAGGTCACCTTCACATTGAGAAAATAAACACGACTAAAGATGACATAGAATTCCTGTAAGGCATATAGGATAACACGGCTACGGTCAAGTGGTTAGTTGATGTTTTTCGGTAAGATGATTAATTTGTCACTCAAAACAATCAGTATGGAAATTCATTGAAATTCTAAACCGATCTGAGTGAGACCGTCATTGAGAAGGAAGGAGCACCGTACGTCCTTTTCGTCCTAGGATGGGACTCCTCAGAGATGCGGTAATCGAATCAAGTATTTGAGTCTCGCTTAATCTATTGACCAACTTCAAAAGTTTCCTTTCGAAGCTAGTTACTAGTGAAGGCATGATAACTGTGATTATGGAGTTATGGAGATTGTTGAACTTCATTGAAATCCTAAAGGGTCGTCGATAGGCACTGCTGATGAGTTCCACACTATGACGAAATGTCTGTCCAGTCCTTCCAGGTTCTCGGTGTTGGCCTAACTTAAATCAGTTCGTGGCTTCAATGAAATCGAAAAATCTGTACGGCCCCCTACCAAGAAATATGGAACTATATTCCTCACATGTTAACATAAGTAAAGCAGAATAATGTCACGTTACACTATGTAGATTGAGCATTGAATCATTCCAAGCACATACACTGATCTCATCATATTAAAACGTAAGTCTGAGTATTAAAATTCATTGCTGATAGCATTTTATGATAAACTGGAATAAAGGACTATCATATTAAGTGTGGTTTCCTACTTATTATGTTATTCAGTTGTATATCATGTGAGAAGAGAAATTAGTCGTCCAGTCGATAAAATGTTCTTACGTATAAAACTATTCGAGCATCAGAGATAGTTAATTTCAAATAAGAAATAAAATAAAAGAAAACATGAGCAGCTAAAGTCCTTTACTGATGAAGGGATTCATAAAAGTAAAGTTATTCCTTGTACATCTCTAGCTCTAAAATGCACTAATTCTCAAATAAATTTTCATGAGGTAAGTAGTGACAATTAGAAGTTTGTGAAATCATTCACTCAACAGTTATGAACTGGAAGCACGATATTTAGTGTTTCATATATACAGTCTTTTGACTTCAGGTTGAAATTAATTTATTCATTTTGAGTCACTAATAAATTAACTCTAGCTTTTAGCTTCTCAACTAGAAGTGACTTTTTCCAAATCGTCATTACCTAAAGAGCAAATTATGGAGAGCAAGCTTATTCTCTGACACGTTTTTAAAGAATAAAACGAGAACTTAACCCAAAAGTAATTTATTTGATCCGAAGTTCAAAGATGTATTCAGACAACATAATGGATAATTTGAACAGTATTAAACCAACCATTGAAAACCATAAACTAAAATCCACATGAATTGCACTACACAATTATTTGATTTTTATAACGACCATCTTTATCGACAACTCAAGGAATGAATAACATATGGATATCATTCAATAATTAGCAACCAAATGTTTATAATTAATTTTCATCGCCCCTACGATTTCATAAGCTTTTCAGCAGGATATTGTAGTATATTAGCGATTCATCCCAGACGTGAAGTGGAAACATGTCTATTTTGGTATATAATGGTTTTTTCACTTTTCTGAATAAAAATTAAATAACTGGTAAGCAGTATTAATCCTGAACTATTTGACAAACACTACATTAGACTGGATCAACATTTACTTCCTTTATCAGATTCAATTGATCACCTTGAAACTTGATGAAATAATTTCAACTCTAAGTATTTCATAACCAGTAGTTGGATTGATATCCATAATATGCACCTGGAATTGAACCAAATATTCCCATAAAACTTTTGTAAGGGAAAAATTGAAGTTTTGAAGCAATTAGACTACGAACTTAAACATAATTTAAATACTCCTAATTATCATATTGGTGTCGCGAGGGAGCCTGTGACGGAACAGTTAGATACTCATTCAACTTGCGAAGCTTTTGAGGATTATCTGAAAAGGTTTGATATCTGGAGCATGACCAAGAAAGGTGTGAATGGTGATAAGATTGTGGCACATTTCCTCACATTCATTGGAACAGAAGCATACAGCTAACTAAACATTTGGCATATCCAGAAATGTCTATCTCACTTCCTTATACAGCTCTTAAGGAACTATTATTAAATCACGTAATATGCACCAGTTTTTAATGTTGTGAGAGGGCGAAATTTCATAAGGTTGTAGCGTGGCGTCGAGTCGCGGTTGACTATGATCACCATTACAAGAAGGTTGCGTACTAAATATCAGAAGGCGATTGGAAGTTGTAACAATATATATTTGTTGGTGATCCCGTGGTATCGAAAGAATACCGAGATCGTGCCAAAAGAATACAAGCGGAATCACTGAGCAAACGTAAGTGCGTGCAAGGTCACAATCAACGAAAGGGAGACTGTCTTTAGTACAGTTAAACAATCACTGGTACAATTGTTTATAATAATAATTGTTTCCATTAAACCAGTCGCTTTCTCTTGATAAAAGTAGGTCACTACAAAGTGATTTGTGGAGATAGACTTAATAAACCTATTTTGTAAATAGTTTTTGATATCTTTTGCATTTATTTTGCCAATTCTCACAATCTGTACACTTATCTTTAATCGATTGCACTTGTTGTTTAAGTATATGACCTTGAATAATCACATTCTTCCTTATGTTTTTGAATCCCACATAACATGATATTGTTAACTGCTCATAATTAAATACACTTTTATACATACGTCTCTCGTTCTATCATGTTTGTGGATATGATAACGGAACGATTAATTAACTATCATCTATATTTATAGACTGGTGTAACATTCACATTACATTCTGCGTTCGGATATACTACTGGAGCCATATTGTCTCATTGGAATTATTATTTACCTATAATTGTGGATTCTGGTACCGAAATCAACAAGACACGCGCCGACCTGCTGATTTAAGTAACGTCCCTAAACTTTTATTTGTGTTATTATCTTATGCGTTGTTTATTGTTAAATTAACTTTTGGACGTAATAACTTTATTGGTTTTTTTGGTTCATATACTTTTTGGTCCATCACAGATTCGTCATAATAACTCAAGGGTTAGGGAATTCATCTTTGAATTGCAGAAACAAGCTGCCAAGTGTAATTTAGATAATCAACTTCATGTGCAACTGAGGGATCGATTAATTGCAGGAATTGACATACCGGGTCTGGATAGAGAGCTGTTATGAATGCCAGACTGTTCTTTTCAAGATGCTAGAACTGCGTGTCTTAACTACGAAGCAGTGAATGAACATGATATCCAGTCGGTTAATATTCCTAATGCGATCTCAGAGTCGATCAGACTTGCGTTCATTTAATAGTGATTCCTATTCTCGTGTAAATATGAAGGGTGTTTCAACAAGGAATTACAAAGCAAACAACGAAGGTGAGATCAAGTTTGTTACATGTTTATTCTGTGGCAAATTTCATTTTCGTAATTCATGTGCATTTCGTTATGCTAAATGTTTTAAATGTGGTAAGATAGGACACGTTCAGTCAGTATACAAAGCTGCTGTTCATTTTGCCTCAAGTGGTACTGAATCTTGTCATTTAGATCCCAGTAATTCGGCTGTTCCTAATGATCATTTATCTTTGTCTACCATTTTGAAAAGTAATGTTCATCTTCAAACTTCCGATTCGAGGATGCTATGAATTGATAATAATAGACGATAATTCTTCATACATGCCTTGTGAATTTTTAGTCAGTGAAACAGGACCGTCAATACTGGATTTAAAAAATTTGAAAGGAATTAATGTGGATTTGTCTTTACTAGTTTCCAAAGACAATTCCGATGTTTTACTTAAAGATTTGATAGCTGCGTGTGCTAGGTGCAGTGGAGGTATGAAAATTCAGCCCATAAAACGTCAAGTACAGGGTGAACCAGTCTTTCTTAAGAGACGAATAATTCTTTATGGTCTTCGAGAAACAGCACACAAAACGTTGAACGACTTGTGTGTGAATGATATAATTGAATCTATTCAGTCTTCAGCATAGGGTACTCCTATTGTTACGCCGTTGAATTCGTACGGTAGTACTCCTAGAATATGTGGTGACTATAGATTAACACTGAACTCTTGTTTGTTGAAACAAACATGCACGACGGTGGCGGCTGAACATATTGTAAGTCGACTTCATGATTCTAAAGTGTTCTTGAAAGTTGGATTAAAAGATGCTTATCTTCAAATGAGTTTAGATCAATCTCCATCTATTTTGGTCACAATTAACACTTCTTTTGGTCTGTTTAAATACAACTCCCTTCCATTTAATCTAAGTTGTTCTCCAGCCATATTTCAGAAAGTTATGAATAAGGTAGTTAGTGATCTTGAAGTTGTTGAAGTTCATCAAGATGATTTCATTGTTCATGGTTCTGATAAGGTAGTTCATGACCAGAGACTTATTGCTTTATTACGTCGTTTAATTGAGAAGAATATTATAGTGAATCCAACTCAGTGTCTATTTTGTTTATCTAGTTTCAAATGTCTTGGATACCTAGTTGATGGTAATGGTTTCACACAAGATATGAAACGACTAACTCCACTGACAAATGCGCCATCTCCAGAAAATCTTACAGAACTACTTTCGCTAATGAGTGCCTTTCAATACTATTCCCGTCTTTTTCATATCTTTCTTTTCGTGCCAATTGTTTATTTAATATTTTGACATCCAATTGCTTCAAATGGGATGAGGA